TTGTGTGTCTGTGTGTGTGTGTGTGTGTGTGTGTGTGTGTGTGTGTGTGTGTGTGTGTGTGTGTGGCTGGCTGCGATTTTTCCTACAAGTCCTTGTCTCTAAGTCCTTGTGTTTTTGCTTAACAATTTTGTATTTTTTTAAATGACAAAATAGGCATATAACCCCCATCTTTTAAATGTATAGTTTGCTTTAAATAAAAGTAAGATTGTATTTGTAATTGAAGCTGAATGAATTTAAAATTCATGTGCTATATTTCAATATATTTGTTTTCATTAAAATTTTTAAACACTAACCTCATTCTCATCTGAAATACAAATATTTGTTTCTGTATAAAATAATACTCTGACTAAAAACACGTTTCTTTTTTTTTAATCAATGTAGAATGTGTAACTTAAAAAAAAGATTAGTGCTCTGTTTGATGACAATTCTGTGTAGGGGGGGGGGGGGGGCAGGGGGATTTCTCTGTTGGGTGAGATTTAATTAAAATGTTTGTTTTTCAAGGTAGCATTCTAATCAGGTAAAGCAAGTAATATTCTCTGTCTTTATATATATATATATATATATATATGTATGTATGTGTGTGTGTGTGTGTGTATAAAGTGTAGGGGTGTGCGATATGACGATTTTTAATCGTGGACGATTAAAATGTCTCCACGATCTGCTTTTGAAGAAATATCGTAGTATCGTGTTACAGTGCATTCTATCAGTTCAGTTCTGGCGCCCCGTCTCAACTGTACAGCGCGACGCAGCCTACACATGATCACACGTTAATGAACAGGTACGGGACACTGCAATTCACAAAAGTTCATTATTTGCATAAGCCTTGCCGGTTAAACATTTAATTCAGGCGCTGATGTGCTGTTCTAACGTGCGCTTTCCTGACCGCATAAATTACCCACGACAATCACAGGCACTAGAAGCCTGTCAAACAGCGCCTGAATACTGGACTAAGTTATCTTTTGAGTCTTATTATGCTAATACTGTTAAATACACACAATGTTTACATAAACAGGCTATGTCTAAAGTGAAAGCAAACATTTGAGAGAATATCTGGTGTAATATGCGTCTATATTAAACGCGTCGCGTGCTGGTCAAAGCGACAGGAATAAATAGTACTGCCGCACGTCCTTAAAGGGATAGTTCACCAAAAAAAATAAAAATAATAATCTGTCATTATTTACTCACTCTAATGTTGTTACAAACCTGTATTAATTTCTTTCTTGTGCTGAACACAAAAGAACGATTTTTTTAATGTGGGTAACCAAACAGTTGCTGGTCCCCATTAACTTCCAGGAGAAAACCAATATAAAACTATAGGGGGACCAGCAACTGTTCGGTTACCCACATTATTCAAAATAACTTTTATTTTCAACAGAAGAAAGAAACTTATTCGGGTTTAAAACATCTTGAGGGAGTAAATTAAGACCATTTTCATTTTTGAGGGAACTATCTCTTTAGTAAAAGAAAAAAAAACACAAGGAGAAAATCACTCACTGACTGAGAACTTTAATAGTAGCTTTAATAAGAATGAATTTATTCAGTGAAGTCTCTGTAGTGTTTTAATTTCATATTTGTTTAATTTAATTACTTTCTTCAATGCTACTGCTAAATACACCTAGTGCATCCGAAAAATAAAGCACTATTTATTTAATTTGAATATTAATTTGTGTAATGTTTATCTTGTCTTATTTTTTTAATAACAAAGAAAATAATGACAAAGAATTTTATTTTCGCCACTGGCCTAAATGTATGCCTTTCTTTTTTATTTTGTTACCTAAGGCTTTGTTTTTAACATAGGGACATTAGTTTGGCTGTAATGAATAGCCACTTGCAAAATATTAAAACCAACTTGAAAAAGAATCGTGATAAAAAATCGTGATTTTCCTAAAAAAATCGTGATATGATATTTTTTCCATATCGCCCACCCCTAATAAAGTGTATGTTTTTTTAGATAAAGTAGAATTTCTATAACTATGTGTTGAACTAATAATCACTCTTGTGTGTGTTAAACGCAATCTACTTAATACAAACAACTTCATTATAAAAGGTAAACAACAAATCCAAAAATTACATGATTAAAATCTATGACAAAAATGCCATTATAACTATATTAGTGGATAATACACACTGCTCTTTGTATTGTTGTGAAATACATTCATGAAAAACAAGATCAAAAATCAAAAAGATATGTTATTATAGATATAGCCATGGCTACTATAAAATTGAAACAACATGTTTTAAATGTATAGCACAGATGTTTAATGAGGCAGCAACATACAAATTTCTAGAACAACATGGACCTGAATAGCTGGTTTTCACGGAGGACAGTGAAGAAGAAGAGGGTGCAAATCAAACAGCTCATTCTCAGACTACACATTCAGCAAACAGCTTAAGTTTTCAGTGCTCTGAGGTTTTTAGTGCTCTTTCCTATCTATTATTAACATATAATAGATAGGACAGAACAAGAAAGGCAATTAATAATCTGTCATTGCATCACTGCATTATGATATGAAAGGCTCAGTACAGTGCGGCACAAAGCACATATGCGCATCCCGAGTGGAGAATGATGCGCTTAAAGCCACATGGAGTTACAGCGTGCAGCGCGTCGAGTCCGCATTGATGCAAGCTCTACAGCACACTTCTTTTCGACAGTCAAAGCGGGGGTTACTTTTTTGCTTGTCGTGCAGAATAACCCTAAAGGCACCAAGGTGGCGGCGCCACCGGCTATACATATATATAAATATAAATATAGCTGCGAGCAGCGATGAAGGGCCAAAGCCGGCGATACCGCCATCAGATACCGGCTTGGGCCCGCAATCGCTGCTCGCAGCTATATTATTATTATTGGTTCTTTCCTTTTTTTGTTCATAATGATAAACTGTGAATGCTGAGATTAGCAAAAGTTAAAATAAAACCTACTTTGGTGAAGACATGAAGTTTTGGTGGGTGACTGGCATACTAGTCAAATAACAGTCTGATCAAGCATTGCTAGTGGTGATCAGGTAGGCTTTTGTTTATCTTTGTTTGTTGTTGTTTTTTCCATGAATTTCATTTCAAATAAGAATCCCCCAATGGCTTTTAGTGCAAACCATTAGCCCAAATTTACGCAAAGTAACTACTTAAACACTAGTTAAAGCCCGAATTACGCAAAATAACTAATTGAGTTGAAATCATTTGCTGACAGCTTGGTCCCCCAGTTAAAAAATCCTATCTGCTCCACTGAAAATAATACAATCCCTATCAAATTCAAAAGACTTTTGGGAATTGATTGCTCTCTCATTAAAAAACATGGGGAGCTTTAAACACCGATTATTACATACATTGTGAATAAATCTATTGAAGAGAGCATCTTTCCCAGTGTATTTAAAACAGCAGTTATAACCCCAATATACAAATATGGAGGTAAAATTGAAATAAGCAACTACAGGCCTATTAGCATAATGCCTGTAATATCTAAAATACTCGAGAAAGCCATCATAGAGCAGCTAACTGATTACCTCAACTGTAATAATTTGTTGCACCCCATGCAGTTCGGCTTTAGACGCAATCATTCCACCGATGCAGCCTGCTGCTATCTGACGGAAAATATAAAGGCCAGCTTGGATGGAGGGGCAAAGTGGGGGCCGTGTTTTTGGACTTACGAAAAGCATTTAACACGGTGAACCACAGTGTCCTCCTGTCTAAGCTTTCTAAGTATAATCTGTCTATAGAGACATTAAATTGGATACAATCATATCTTGCAAACAGGTTGCAATGTGTGAGGTTAAAAAATATATTGTCCACTCTGAAGCCCAGCACAACTGGGGTCCCGCAAGGATCAATTCTGGGACCCTTGTTGTTTAGTATTTATATCAATGATCTCCCAGCTGTGTGCAAGGGCGTGGATATCATCATGTATACAGATGATGCCGTCATCTACACACATGGGAGGGCTATGGACAAAATAAGAAATTGGCTAAAGTCTTCTTGCTTAACACTAAATACTAAAAAACTGATGGAATGTATTTTGCTAAGTCAAACAAATGTAAAAATTTGCCTAACACCTATTTTAATGGGCAAAAATTACCATTGTGACAGAGATAAATATTTAGGTGTCCATCTCAAACATTAAGTTTTAAAAACATATTAAAAGAATGTCTAACTCTATTAATTATCTCTATTTGAAATTTCTATTTTCAAACATATTAGGAATAGTTTGACAATTGAGGCAGCTTTCATGTTTTTTAATGCCATAATTTCTTCTCACATCACTTATTGTTTGTCCTGTTGGTCTCAGGCCAACGAGACCACAATTAAACCACTCAGATCAGTCTAAAATCAGGCGTTAAGGGGGCTTGACAGAAAAGCCCAGGGCTATCATCATTGCAATATTTTACGTAAATACAAAGTACTAAGTTTTGATTCCCTAATTTTATTTACAAATTTAAGAACTGTTTTTGAAAAAATTCATAAAACTTTATTCAGAACAAACAAACCGAACATCTCAAATCAACGGTTCACAAAAATGTGGCTATCCCGAAAAGATCCTACGCCTTTGCACGGACAGCTTATTCATTTAAAATCATAAAACAATGGAATCAACTCCCCAACAGTTTAAAGCTGTCTGTAGATGTGAACCATTTTTCTCAAAACTTAAAGAAATACATTCTTGAGAACCAGCTGTGTCAGCATCAGTGCATTTAATGTATATATTATGGGTAGAGATGGTCTTTTGAATGTGTTCTCTCATCTTGTACACCTGATTGTTTTTATACATGACCTTCATAGACTAATATTATGTGTAGCTTACATTACTATTGATAGTTGTTTTGTAATGTAATGTTTTATAATTTGTGTGCACCTGACCGGGGACTGCGGATGAAAATTAGCTTCGGCTAGCTCTGGCACAAAACATCTCTTCGTAAGACTAATGTATTTTGTGCATTGTCCCTGATAAATAAATAAAGGAAGGAAATAAAGGAAGGCAACAAAATATTAGAGCACACCCTGCTGAGACTCACCGGAGTTGGCGAAGATCTGGCTGCCGTCTGCAGTGAAGGCGGTGGCACACACCGTCCCGTTCAGCTTCATGCTGCGCACCACTTCCCTGGTCTGAGGAACACACACACACACACACGTCACTCAGCAGCCGAGCGCAGGCACTGACACACAAATCTCTGCATTACAGCGAGTGAGTCTGTACCTTTGAGCTCATGAGATGCAGAAACCCAGAGGATCCGAACAGAAGAAGAAACTTCCCATCGGGAGAAACCTGGAAGTCTGACACCTTCTGCTCATTCAGACCTGACATACACACACACACACCAAGGTCAGGGGAAACATGCTTCACACACACACCACACGAGTGGCCTGGGGACGCTCACCTCGTACGTTGGAGACGGGGATGACTCTGCCCTCCATCATGTCGTAGATGTAGAAGAGCTTGTTCCTCCAGCCGGTCGCCACGATCTGCTCGCCGTCAGCGCTGAACGCCGCCTTGTTCACCGGGAACTTCTCCAGGTGGATCGTCTGGATCTTGGCGTTGGTCTTGCCATCCACCTGGAAACCAGGAACCGCAGGGTTATCATCATCATGTAGAGCAGGTCCTTCAAAACTGACCAGACCAGCACAGTCCACACCAGAACCATCAACCCCTCACGGCCAATCAGAAGAGCCTGTGGGCGGAGTCTCTGCACTCAACCAAATCAACACACACTCACAGCCAATCAGAAGAGCCTGTGGGCAGAGTCTATCAGGATAGAGTCATATCAGGATAGTTTAAAATATCAATATAAATGGATACATATAACAAGAGGTTACTTTGACAAATTACAGAAAAAAAGAGTACATAGTAAAAAAAAAAAAATTATTTAATTTCATACTCTAATATGTACAGTCTCCGATGTTAAATACCATTACAATTTCTATAGTTTACCTCTTTTCACATCAAGATGCAATTTTAAATATCTATATAGACTGATACATAAAGCAAAACATAAACGTATGCATATAGCCAGTTACAAGAAAGGAGAAAAATCCAATTCCATGTTTAGACCTGGGTATTGATTAGCTTTTAAAGTGTAAATCCAAAAAGATTCTCTTTGCAAAAGTTTGAGTCTATCTCCCCCTCTTGGTGATATTTTAACATGTTCTATCCCAAAGATTTTTAAAGTATCGCTATTTCCGTGGTTCACCTCTCTATAATGTAAAGCCATAGGGTACTGGTAGTTGCTTGTTCTTATTGCATATTTATGCTCTGCTAATCTTTCTTTAAGTTTACGCTTAGTTCTTCCAATATAAAAACAACCACAAGGACATTCAAGTCTGTAGACAACGAATGAGGTATTGCAATTAATAAATGAATACTGTATTCGCGATTTGATGTCACATCTGTAAAAATATTGGTCTTTACCATATTGCTACAATGATTACAGTTTCCACACTTATAATTACCTCTTATTTTGCCTAGCCAGGTTTTATTCTCTACAGGAGGCATATAGCTTTTCACAAGACTATCTTTTAGAGTAGGAGCTCGTTTAAAGGTGATAGTAGGTACCTCCGGCAGTATATCTCTCAACACGGTATCACTTTTTATTATATCCCAATTCTTCTTGATAATTTGCTTTATCTTATTAGCTTGACTACTGTATTGTGTAACAAAACTTGGTTTGGCTCTTGTTGTCGCCCCTGTTTTTGAACCATCAGCTGTTCTCTACCAAATTCTTTTACTCTATTGTAGGCTATATCTAGAGTCTTATGTTTATACCCTCTTTTCTTAAACCTTTGAACCATGTCTTGAGCATTTTTTTCAAAAACATCTTCAAAATCACATATGCGTTTAATCATTTGAAATTGTAAAGGTATTTAACATCAGAGACTGTACATATTAGAGTATGAAATTAATTTTTTTATTTTTTTTTACTATGTACTCTTTTCTGTAATTTGTCATATAAAGTAACCTCTTGTTATATGTATCCATTTATATTGATACTTTAAACTATCCTGATATGTAAATGTGATCTGTCTTATCTTAAGTAAGTTGTTCCTATTGCTCTTGGTCAGGTGATATGTGCAGATGAGCACCTGTGACTTTAGGTCATGGGACTACATGCAGATATATAGCTTGCAGTCTACTGACTGCCATTTTGAATTTGCCCTGAAGAAGGCCAATGAGGCCGAAACATGTTGGCATATGTTTTTAATGCATAGCCAAGTTTAAATAAAGGCTTTTTTTTATTTATTTTCCTTTTGAGTGCCTCAGAATTACTGTTTATCTGGGATACATGAAACCTCATTGCCTATAATTAGGCTTTAGCAATAGCAAAGGCCATAAACCTAAAGTGAAACATAAGTTCAACCTCAACACAAAAAACAATGCTTCTATTCCCTGAGAGTGAGGGTACTTTTTTCACTTGAAATTAAAGTGCAGGATTTGGAAACACGAAGCTCTCATCTAAACATAAAGTGCCACTGTAGCGTTATATTAAAATATCATAACATGAAATCCAAAATGTTCCCACACACCGGACATATACCATAGACTTATACGACGCGACGCTGGCGCATCCTCCAACTCCCTCATCTCTCCCACTTGACATTTCTCCGCGTGCCGTGACCTGCAGCGCTCCATACTCCACTGTTACTGGCTTGTTTACTAACTTGAACCGGCGCTGCACAGAGCGATCGGTAATGACATCAAATACCGCGAAAGTGATTGAAAAGCATATGGAGCCGTCACTCTCGCGCTAGTTTGATGTTATTCACCGATCGCTCTGTGCAGCGCTGGTCCAAGTCGAACAAGCTTATGTCGCGCAAAAAGAAAACACGCGTCACATACGGGAAAGAGGCTACATTGTGCATGCGTCGAACCGTGAGACGCACACACGCTCCGAACCGAGACAAGCGAACCGAACGGTTCGGGTGTTTTTTCATGTACCGTGCCACCCCTAGTAGAACGTGTGACAGACAGTTATACGAGTTCGATTTGTGAACATTTTCAACTTTCTGCTAAGATATATGTGACTTTTTTGCAACGACAATGCAAGGATTATGAAATCATGCAAACCCCGCATATTTTGCACTGAAAATTTCTGCAGCGGAAGTGCGGCGTATTTGAATAAAATAATGCAGAATATGAATATGCAGACTTTGGCTGATTATGCATTGAATTCAGCGATCGCATAATCGCGTTTTTCTGGTGGGACTGAAATCAACTTGGGTCGGGCCGATGGACGATGTCATCGTCCGTCGTGATGGCTGACAGACATCACAATGTTTAGACGGCATCGGCCGTCCAAAATCTGTCGGATCGTCCGCTTTTTGTCCCGCCAAAGCCTTTTTTGATCGGCGAGTGTTGTAGAGTAAAATGACTGATGCGTTTGACAGGGTACAAGCAAGCTGAGAGAGAGAGAGAGAGCACTCACAGCCAATCTGAAATCTCGCCAATCTCACTATTGATCTGAAATATAGCATTTTCTAATATTCATTTTACATTCATTCAAGTACAATTACCAAACATACATCAAGGTCATTTTGTCTTTTTATTAATTTAATTAATAAACTAATTATATGAAACTATGGTCAGTGCACTACAAATAAAATGGTTCTATGCCTTTATTAATAAAACTTAAACAACTTAAAAAAAAATACGAGGTTTAAGAGATTTATAAAAATGCCTTCTGCATTTTTGTTTTGCTTTTCACTCCATTGTACCGAAATCGTACCGAACCGTCTGAATGTCTGAACCAAGGTATGAACCCACTTCATGACTTCTGTACCGTTCCACCCCTAATGCAGTACAATTTCATTATTATTCATTACTATCCAGAGAGCGGCTTACTATATATAATTTGTGCGACCAAATCATGTTTTACGCCAGTAACTGAAAAAGTTAGTAGCGCAAGTGCCACCAGTGGAAAAGGTTAGTGTAGTTCCCTGGCTTACCATTTCATGATGCTTACCATTCTCATATTACGATTCTCAAATGTGTAAGTGAGTTTGTTTGTCGTTAAAAAAAAAGAAAGAAAAAGATCTTTATCTGTAACGTGAGATGGACGCCGTGTTTGGGCCACAGTTCAGATATTTCTGTCTGTTGGATTTATTACAGTCCGGGAATTCATCGGTTTCTCTCGAAATACACGAAAGTAAGTGGCCGAGAAAAATAGAGTTGACTTTATAATTATTTACATAGTGTCTCTCTGATATGAATAAAAACTGTCATCAAATATTTGAATGGGTTGTTATTTCTGCTTCCATAGACACCATTGTGTATTTTACAAACTAAAAATGTATTGTTTTGCTATAATATATTATATATATTTAAATGCCTGAAACCTAAAATAAATATCATGTGGTTAAAAGTTAAAAACACTGAACAGTTGTGATATAGCCTATGACAAGCGCTGCACGCGTCCGTCTTTGGCTCAGTGCCAGCCATAGCGCAAGCTGCACGCAGTTTGAATCTAGCAGTTATGTCACTGTACATTCGCTCCATAGACTCGCTCTGTGCTTAGCTGCTGTAGAGCGTGCTGAATTCGAAATTGCTGATAAGATATAGAGGAAAATATGTAGTGGAAAATGAGCATATTACAAAATATTACAATTTTTAATATTCCAGATTTTAAATATTATATCACTTTTTTTAAAAGGCATTTGACTGGGTAAAATCTCTTAGATGGTGTGTGACCATGTTCTATATCACAAATCATGGCCAGGATCTGTGCATGACTCAAGAATTTTAAGAGATTCACATTTATGAAAATTATTTGAACATGGTAAGGAAAATTATAAATATCAAACTCACGGTATTACATACACTTATGCTGAGAACTGCATTTTTCCATTAAACAGGTGATTACAACAGGATCCTGCATGGAGACAGGTGTTGTATGACCCCATTCCCTGACCCAAACCCCAGACCAGTTACAATGCAGCTCTAGGACAAGGGCACACAATGACATGAGCTTTGGCCAACTAAAGGGAAGATTTCAGGATCTAAAAAGCCTGAGGGTTGCACCTGACAGGGCCTGTGACATTGCATGTGCCATATTACACAAAACTGCCAACTAGGGCTGGGTATTGAGACAAATTTCACAATTCGTTTCGATTTCGATTCACAAGCTTGCAATTCGATTCGATTTCGATTACGATTCGATTCAATATCGATTATTTTGGATATCAGTTACAATAAATGGCAAATTTTCTCAAGGGAATCAAATCTCTTAAATGCTGTAAACTATGGGAGTCTAGTTGTAGCCTACTAGGCTTCATTTGCCTAATATGAAGGTAATAATTAACTGTTTTGTAGCTATACAAACACTTAAATTACACTTTTATTTATTTTTATAATAAGAAGATTACATGAAATATAAACATTTAAATGGTGGCTGTCATAAAAACTTGCCAGATTTATTCAAATATGCATTAAATATTGAAGAACACTAACGAGTGTGGACTAACGAGTTTGTGGGTTTTCTGAGGTAAATATGACGATGATATTGATTACAAGCTGTTTAACTGACGTCTTTCCACGGTTGAAACGCTGATTGAGCGAATCAATG